GCCCTGTTTTTATGAGTTTTCAGCTTAGTCTGGCAGAATCAAGATCTTAGGGATCTGGCCTGGAGTTTGCAATCAAACTTCAGGCTTTTTTGAAACTTAGTTCCTGACCTTGGAAATTCATCCATCACTAATCTTTACATGCCGTTTGTGCTACATGCACACTTTTTACTCTTTGTCTCTCAGTGGTGCCTGGCAATCGTTCAGAGCTGTCTCAGTTTTTCACCTTGAGTCTTCCCTTGCTGCTGGATGAGCACAGCAGTATGGGCCATGAAAGAGTATGAAACCTGGGGGCAAGGAAATGCAGTGGTGGTTTGTGCGATGTGCCTGAGCACTCCTATAGCCCTTCTAGGCCTGTGTAGAGACACATAGAAGAAAGAGCCCAAATAATGTATGTCTTTATTTAAGCTATACTTGGTAACATATGATTTCCTCTCCATTTCACTGCTGGCAGTTAGCTTGGCACTCAAGAATTAAGGACAGATTACAGTGATTTTCTTCTGAGCTCTGCTTATCAGTGGGGCTCCAGGGATGAGCCTGATTTGGAGGTGCTGCATGGTGGGTAAATGGACAGCCATGGAGACACAGGCTTCCAGGAATGCTTGGGAATCTGAGATACCCCCTGCATATCAATCCTCCCCCTCACCAATGCTGTTTTATTCACCATCCAATGAACCGCACAGCTAACATGCCATAGCTAAAAGTGGTCCCAAATGACTCGCATCTACGGGAAAGCAGAATACTTGCACTCTCACGATTCTCTCCTGGGAGGATGAAGATCCTCTGTTTAGAGGACTCTGAGGGTTTTTTTTTCTTTTTTTTCCTTTCATTTGTTACTGCAGAATAACATTTTTAAAAGTAATGGCAATTTGTCAAAAGCAACATTTCAAAGAAATTGCTCTGGTCACTGGTAGTTTGTGATCCACTTGTGACTGTCCCTGGGGTAGAATCAAAGAAAAAAAAAAGTCCAACTAGAAATATAACTGGAGGGACTGTACTATTTAGATCAGGGAAGATCAGTTGTGTGTTTGCAGAGAGGGACACGGGAGAGATGATATATACAGGTGGCCAACATGAGTCAGGAATTTTAACACGCAGACAGCTTTAGCTTGAAGAAGAAGGTGTCCTATACAGAACCTAAAATACAGAGCACATGGACTCCGACCATGTAGCCCCCTCACTTATACAGTGCCCTCAGCAGGGATGGACAGCAGAACCCCCTGTAGCTAACTCGCTGCAGTCACAGGACAACTTCACTGTACAATAACTGAGAGTCACCATACACAAAACCTCAGCTTGCAGATCGCAGTGGGTTGAGCCAATTCATCCTGCATCCCTATGACATCTGGATTCACTGCAGTCAAGTTCCTCTGTGGTCTCTGGAGCATAGAGATGTGTTGTCCCAGCAGCGCAACATGAAAGGCCACGTGTGGGAAAGAGCCTGCCAGCTACGGACCTCGCGTTACCACCTCACGGAAAGGGAGGTAGACCCAAGACCTGCTGCTACATCAAGCTAGGACAAGAGTGTTGCTTTATCTACAAGGCAGGGGATAGGAAAAGAAGAGCGGGGGTTGCACTCTGCAGGAAGCTGAACATCATCCAGGAAAGCACATTCTTAACTTTAAACATATGAATAGTCTACCAAAGTTAAGGGGATTAGTCACATGCTCCAAGTAAAGTACATGCTTAGGCGCTTCACCAGAGCAGATCTGAAGGATGGGGTCAAGCCCCTTAATGCTGGGATCACAGCTAACAGATTTCTAATTAACTACTCCTCCAACTAGAAAACCACACTCTAGTCAAAAAGCTTGAATCTCTGTTCAGAAAGGTATTTCAGAGCCTCCCGAAAATGCAGAAACTCAGACTAGATGTCAGTGTGCTTTGGCTCAGGATAGATGGAGACACTAACCATTGCAAATTTGGATGTATTTTGAATCAACCCTGCTCTAAAGATGAGTCTGAGCCAACAGAAAGCATGGTGGGGCTGTGAGCCCCCTTCACGGGTATCAAAGCATGCAGGGGTTCTCCCACTTCTGCAAGTAGCACGGAGGGAAATTCACAACATCCCAAGGGGGTTTTGCCCTTATTTGAGGCAAAGATGAGAGAACTGGTGTTTGGACAAATGGTCCCTTTTGGGACCCAGTTTGAGATTAAGGTTACATGATCATCTGCTACTTCAGACACTTACTCCCACAGTTTTTAAGATGCTTCATAGCCACACAGGCCTTAGAAAGGCTATGCTATAGTGAGTGGAAAACCACAGAACTGGCCTAAAGATCCAGGGTTAACACTTCTCTGTTGTAAATAAAAATAATCATAACCCTCTGCCACCATTGCCACATGCAGACAAACACTCAGGCTCATATACAGCTTGTACATCAACGCCATCAGAAAATACTTCATCAAGGCAGAACTATTTTCAGGTCAGTTGCAGAAAGAAAGGAAAGCTTTAGGAACCCATGAAAGAGCAAAATTATTGTCATTTCTTTAAATCCTACTGCTAGACCTCTTTCAAAACTGTATCTGTAAAAGAATACACCCTGTGACCAGTCACGGAGCACACAAGACTGTACATCGTCACAGGAGCTGTCGTTCTGCTTTCCATGCCACAGGGCCTGATGGCAGACTCCAGCTGGATACCTCGGTGCCCTTTAGTTTACCTGGGTCACTCCAGGTATCTGTATTCATATGGAACACCTTCCCTATTGCACTCAGCACTGCAGAGGAGGAAGAAAGTTTGTGTTCAAAGTTGTTTTAATGAAACAATTACCATTTTTCTAAAGCATTCATCTCTTAAGGAAAAGTTGGTTTTTCTCAAAATTGTTCATATTTTGAAAAATTTCATAAATTTTTTATAGGTCTCTCTTGGTTTTCAGTTATTGATTTTCTGCGTTCAGTTTTCATTTAGCTTTCCAAGAGCTGTTTCTATTTTTAATTTCCTTCTTCACTCCAGTAGTTCATCAGCCTCCTTACCTAATAGGCACTTGCACAGTCAAACAGTTTCAAAGCTTTGCAAAACCACTCTATTTTAAAACCTTGCCAGAAAAAAAAGAAAGAAACCAATCTACTTAAAAAGGAAGTTTCTTCAAAAGGCATTTTCAACATAAATAAATAAATACTTTCTCCAGTCAGATCTAATGGAGAATGAAATGACAAAACTTCAGTTGCCAGGGATTGCACTTTAGTGGCAACGCACTGGCTTGGCAGCTGGCATTGGCATGTTTGGGGAATTTGTAGACTGGAGAAAGCAAAAGCTAGGTAGTTGAGCAAGAATGAAAGAAAACCAAATCCACCCTACTCCAAAATGCCCTCCAGAAACTTCATCTCTTTGGGCACTGTTAAAAAAAAAGCAAGATCATCACACAAGGTGTAACAGGGAGGGGAAGCAGGGCTGGAAGGGGAATGGTTGGCTATGCAATCGTATTGCATAAGAATTATTTGTTGGTTGGATTTTTTTAACCTAGCAAAATACTGTTTCTTGCCAGCTGTGTAAATGGCATGACTTGGAAATTAATGCCTTTATTTCTGTGCAGCAGACACGGTCTCAACAGGTTGCCTCCTCCTGGTGAGATTTTTTTAGACACAGAGGATGACTTTTGATTGACCAATGAGGACTGATGGCATGCAGCTATTGTGTAAGAAAGGATTGCTGGTACTATCCCTGAATTAAGTGCATGTTGGGTTGAGTTGGGTTGGTTTTGGGGAGGCCTTTTTTCTTTGCCCTGTCTCCCTTTGCCTGTACATTTGTCAGTGGTACCCTCTCTCCCGCATATGGCCATTCAGTCATCGCCTCTTCAGACTCCCTTTAGTTACACCCTTGGCTCTTCCTCCCCACCTTGCCCTCAGACACTGGTCCCCTGCAAGGAGCCACTGCCCTCACAGCCAAAATGCTTTGCTTCCTCTAATGGCATTCACCCACCTCTCCAGACTTAGCTGTTCATTTAGCTCTTCTGGGACCTACGACCTGAACGATGGGAAGAGCAGAGTGAAGGAAAAAGGAGACAGTGGGAAGAGGAGTAGCAGGAAAAAGAGAAAGACCAAAAAAGAGAGAGAGTCCCATTTGCAGATTCACAATTATATCATACAATGCTTGAGCACGTGGGAAATGGATCTCTGTTCTCTGCATCTGACCCTTTCGCTTCCCTCTGTACACAGTTCTCCCAGATGGAGAGTGGAGAAGTCCAGTGAACTGGGGCAGTTTCCAAAGACAAGATGTGGGAAGGTCTTATTTGGCACACATGAACACAAGAGGCATCTCTTCTCTCTTACAAAAATTAGCTTCCCTGTCCTTCTCGGCAATGACTTTTGCCCAGTTGTCTTAAACATCCAAAATGGAAACTTGATGAAATCCCACTCCAGCAAATACCTGGGAAGAACAACTGCCAAGGCTTGCCCAACCTCCCTTCTCCCTGGTGGGTCTTCCCTTGGATCCACCATCCTGAACTCTCAGATGCTCCATGAAAACAAAAAAAACATTCTGAAATCCACCAGAGGAGACATGCTGCCTCAGACCTGACGGCTTTCCTGACGCTTCTGCAGTTGTGGTGCCTCAGTCTTGGGCCACAAACACAGCATGAATGGTTTAGTGGACAATCACATTGCAATGTTTTAAATTTTTCTTTTTCTTAAAAAAAATAAATAAAAGAAGAGGGAAGGAAAAGTTATACACACATGTATCACAGCATTTTCAAAAGGCCTTCTGCTGCATTTACGTTAGCAGTTCAGCCTCAGTTATAAGCCTGGATGTAAGGCAGCTGGAAGATTAAAACCACATTGTTGGAAAGTCCTCATGGAGTTTGTTTAGTTGTTTTCTGTTTTTATTTTGTTAGATCTGTTTATTACTATTTTCACTTGTTTGCTTCTCTCTAAGGTTTGACAGGCAAAGAGAAAATGCTTTTCTGCTTTTCCCCACACGTTCTGTCCATTTTGTTTTCTGTGTTTTAAGGAAGAAAAAAACCAAAAAACAAAAACCAACAAACCAATGACAGGGCAGGCTTCTGTCATTTTGTTGTAAGAAAGAAAAAGAAAGTGGGTGGGTGTCTGATAATCGCCTTGAGGAGGTACATTGCAGAGGTGGCTCAAATGCTTGATTTTTTCCTTTGCTTGCTGTTTGCATTTTCCTTTCTGGCTGCAATGGACAGGCTTTTTGTCCCCCCCATCCCACCCTCCATGTCCTGTACAGATTCTGGTTCCAGATCCCCAACACAGATGCCCTGTTCCCCTTCCCAAATGGCAGTAGGTAGGTGCAACTGTATGTTGATTTGACCTCTAAGGTATGATGCTGAAGTTAAGAGTTGGATGGAAGAGCCATGTGAGAGAAAAGCTTTCCCATCACTGTGAGAAAGAACGAAGCAACAGAGTCCGGTGGAGATGTGAGTGCCCTGTTGGACTCAGCTCTACCTTGGCACTGGCATTAATTTGAGATTATATATATATAATTATATATACATATATATGCATGTATAGGTATACATAGACATATATATATATATATGTATGTGTGTGTGTATTTGTTTGCTATTTGTTTTAGCACACTGTCCCGTTCTCAGGTCTAGATTTGGGGCAGTTGGTCCTGGGGACAGGTTGGACAGAAGGGGCCAGAGTGCAGAAGAAGCCAGAGATAAGAGTGAGGCCCAGGCCCCCCCACGCACAGAACATGGACCAGCCATAGCCATGGCTGATGTCGTCGGGAAGTCCGTACAGGTAGCGGGGGTAGCGGGAGAGCTCAAAGTTGATTCCAGCCACGCACGTGCACAGTGAAATGATGCAGAAGGTTCCTGGAGGAGAGTAGGAAGGGGAGAAAGAGGGAGGAAAAAAACAGAGACGTTAGAAGAGTGATAGACACACCACTTTCCAAGTTGCCCGAAAAGAGCAAGCAGCAAGGAAATACTTAAGGGAAGACGTTCATATAGAAAGTGGCTTAGTCTAGCAGCTCCATGGCAAAAGAACTGAGTGCCACCAGAGCCTTGAATATTGATCTGATGATGAACAGAGCTGTATGGAGAAACCTCAACAGGAACAGTTTTTTCATTACGTGCACTCCCTTGAGAACCAGAATGCTTCACAAAACCGTTGATTTTTCTGGAATTTTGCTTTAGACAAATACAGAGTGAATCATCATGTTTCAATATTTTTTGGAAGAAAAAAAATCTTGATTTTTTTTGTTTAATTTCAGTTTTTCAGTGATGGATTTTATAGAAGAAAATGTTACAAAATACTTCACATATTCTGGCTCTGTTGAAATGTACATTTGAAATGACTTGGGAGATTTTTTTCAGACTTTTCTTATGTAAAAATCTAAAGTCTTTCATTATACACACCTCTCTTAAATACCACTGTCAAAATCTTAACATCCCTCACAAAATTCAGATTCTACTCTCTGCATGACTCCAGTCCCAATCTAGATGCCCTCTGCAGTGTTGGGGAAATCTTCAAAATATCCTGTTCTTGTTTTCCATCTCTGCAGCAATATTTCATTTCTTCCTGAGGACACTGCGAGGACAGGCTTCATAACTCTATTAGGTGGTAAGTGTTATGGAAAGACACACATATCAGATGAGGCTGAACCTTAGCTCACCCAGATGAGTCTCATTTTGATCTTTGGCCTCCAGCTTCATCAAAGCTAAATTCTGAGCTCCTGAAATGTCACAGTTGCCACCCACACACCGAATAATGGATAGCTACAGATGCTACACACCTGTCTCAAGAGATAACAACTAAAATCAACATAAAGTTGGTAATTTATTTTTCCTCTCTAATTCCTCCCTATGCGGGCCTCTCTGAATTGCCTGGAGAGCCCTGCCACAGAAGGCAACCTACAGGATGTGTGCTATAGTAACACGCATGGTCAGTCCGTGTGTTGCCCCGCTGTTGACGCACAGAGGAGTAGCATGCTACGTGTGCTACTGGTGCAGCACATCCTACATCTGTTCATGAGGAGCTGCTGGTGAGGAATCTCCTGCTCTTCCTGGTGCCATCCCTAAGACAGCATGATCCTCCAAAGCAGTCACAGCTAGTCTGTGTCAAGCTCCGTTCTTCTGGTGCCCTTGCCTCCTTCTACTCCTTCCTGCCCCTGCTCCTGCTTCTCTTCTGGAACTTTTCCTGTTGTTTCTCTGCTCCTTTGCTCTTTTTAGTTGCAGTTGCATTGAAGAAATGGATTTTACACTCCCTACTCTGAAGACACAGGTAAGATTATGTGGTGAATTTGCCTGGAATTAGGCTCAGAAACTGGGCGCATTTGTAGGAACATACATACACCACCAAAAATGTGTGGACTTTCCACAATAACCACCTCCTTTACTTAATAGGAACATCACACAGGTCTTGAATCTGCAGGGAAATCTCTATCATACACCTGCTGTGAGATGACCATCACGACCCTCTCTCTGTTCCCTCTTCTGATCACTGCTTTGTCTATTTGGACTGTCTTTTCTCCAGTGTGTTTTGGAGTGCCACTTGTAGATAGTCTCTGTTGTAAATAGGGAGGATATGGGAATATGGGAACTCTGGGTGCCTCCCCTAATGCTATATATAGCTGCCAGGTTATGGCTCAGGTTATTCATGAGCATTCATGATAGTGCCACAGGGTACCAGTGAGGACCAGCGAGCTGCTGCAGTAGGTACTATGCCTATTTAAATGAAAACAGCCTTCTTGCCTCTCACCAGCACCCAGTCTACAATCAGTGCTCTGGACTTTTGCAAAGGCCTTGTGAGATCCCAGGCTCTGGAGCTGCCTTCAGAGATGTCCTACACTACTTCAAAGCACAGAGCAGGACAAATGGGGAGGTCTCCCTCCCAGAATCCCTTAATGAAAAATCAGATTTTTTGATTAGAAACCACATACCTCTTTCTGTGTTTTACCATCTCACTTAGGTTATCCAGTAACATGAAGGTGTCTGGCAAGAACGCAGTTGTTCCTTGTGTGACATATGAACATGACTAGTACACTGTAGGATCGGGGAAAAAAGGATCCATCAGAGCTACTGTGCTCTGAGTCAAACTCCGTGGCTCATTTCAAATGGTTGTGGTTAGAAAATGACACGAAAGCCCTTTCTCTGCTAGCAAGAACATGATAATTTCAGCTCTCTCGAAATATAAGATTGTTAAGAGAGGTGGGTGGAAAAATCTGTGCGGCCAGACTGAAGCTGCATTTGCTAAGTACAAAAGGGAAGGAAATAACTTTGGATTTCAAATGCTCCCTGTGCTTTCATGCTTTGTCTTGGCTGTTTCAATCACAAGCTCTTCAATGCAACGAGTGTTGCTTAATCTTTGTATTTGAAAAGCGCCCAATATATTGGGACTCCACCTTGCTAGGGGTATTCTGCCCCATAACAAATGAACAATAAAGAAGAACAAGTAACAACAATAGAGAATAAAGCAAATCACAAGCATGAGACTTCTTAAAAAAAAGGCTGCCCTTGTCCTGCCCCTTTGCTGGAGAATATGCTAATCCCACAACGACAAATAATGACTGCCATACACAACGTTAGAGGATGCATAGTACAGTCCTCAGCCAGTCGCTCCCCTGTGCTTCTGCAGGATGTCTTGTACAGCACAGGTTTATCAGCCTCCCTAGTCCTATTCATTACAGACACAAAAAATGCCATTTTATACCACCCAGAGGAATCTTTATGGCCATTATACGAGTCCTATGTGTTGTTTGTATTCAGCCAAGCAAGAAAGTTCCTGCTTGTAGTTAATCTGGGCTCTCACCAGGAGGGTTACTGATGAAAACTGAGTCCGGTTACTACCTCATGACTGTGCGGTAGCTTTTCCTCATGAACTGGCAATAACACAAAGGATCATCCTTGAAAATTGCAAGATTGTTGGCCATCTTCGTGAAAGAGTCATGGGTGGAAGGGATGCAGAAACTGAGTTTACACTTGGAAATGTAGCCTCGCTAGTCTGGGTAAGACAGGGAGCTGGGATGGCAGGAGGAGGGAGGCTGTCGCTCCTGTCCATGACACTGCCTGCACTATGGACACAGCGCTTCAGAGGCAGCAGAACCGCAGCAAGTCATGAGCATTCCCAACCCTGAGATTCTTTTTCTCCCCAGAAAATAAACTGAACTCTTATTCGCTCTCCTGGCAGGTTCTTGTCATCAGTGAGGTGCCCCCTTACACATGCACTAACGCCCCAGATCCCCAGGCAGCTGCAGCAATACAAACTTTAATTGCTTTGTGAAAAACATTCCCCGTAACTCTGGCCCAAGCAGATGACCAGACCTGGAGGCTGGTGGTCCAGCCATGGCACTGGCACACAGAATGACAGACGGTAATACGAGCTCACCGGGGATGTGCTGGTACGCGAGCTGGACAGGGGAGATAAAGACCATCTCCTTCAGCAGCTGGGGAGAGCAGAACACACCAAGTTCTTTGTGCTGGGATTCACACGTTATCATCCTAAGCAAAACACTAATGAGACAAGGCAACAGTGGCATTTTTGACAAAGGAAATTCAGGTGTCACTACAAAATGCTTCAGTCAGGTGAGAGATGACATTTCATGTAAAGTCGTGTCTGTGCCACAGGAACTGCTGTTGACATGTAGTCAAACCTCCATTCTGACTCCTTATCAGACAGCCACCCTTCCTCTCGGGCTGATTTTGACAGTGCCTGTCCTGCTAACGGACTGATGATCAACAGTGGTTTGAACATCTGAGCTATTAAATACCTCATGGCTATCTTGTGCTATTCCTTCTTATATATTACAGAAGAAGAATATTAAACACTACAGTGAATGCCTCTTCCATTTAGACTGGAAGTTTGTTTAGGACAGAGATGAACTTATTTGCTATATATGTGTATAAGATTAGGGTCCGGCCATCCTTGCTGCAGGGGTAGACATGGTCAGGAGAGGGATGGCTGGGAAAGGTAATATCATTGTTGGTCAAAGCCTAATTCGGTGTGGATTATGAGTCAGAGCCCTTTGCTGTAGCAGTTTTTAAGCATGATTACATCAAGCAGAGCTGTGGGCCTCTGCTGCTAAGAATTTTTTTTTTTTTCATAAACATCCCTTTTCTTTTCAATCAGCCCAGCTGTGCAAGGGGCTGTAATGACTCCATTTGCAGTTTTCAAACCCCACCTCCAGAGGAGCGCAGGACTGCTTGTGAGTGAACTGATTTAAATACAAACAGGTTCAAACCATCCATACCAAATACATTTGAATTTTGCCTCACGCTAGTGCCCCTTTGAACCATGTCAGAAGCCATGTCCTTCTCCCACAAACCTGTTTCAGCTTCCACAGCTATACAGCTTGAGGGATTTCACAGGGTCCACAGTGTTTTGTGAAACAAGAACTGCTGCCTTTCTTAGAGATACCGCAAACAAAGGTGAGCCTTCATGGTGCTGGTGTGCAATCAGACCCCGCTGGCAGGAGCTTCATCTAAACATCCTCATCCTTACTGTTAGGGATGAGGTGTCTGACTGTAGCCTGAAGGAGACATCACCAATTTGAAGTGAAGTGAAATCCAAAAAGTCAGTAATTAAAAGGAACCGGGCACCAAGCCCACCTCTGAGACCCTCCTCTCTACAAATAATTTTTCTCATTATTTGGAAAACATTTCTTCCACATCTGATGGAACAACGTTTGTTCTCTCCCTTCCCTCTACAACAGGCAGAAACGACTCACAAACTAACTGTGCTGTCAGATGTACAAAGTAAACAAACAAAAAACCCTCTGATTCTTCTCCCCTTCTGTTTTTTTTTCAGAGATAGAAATGTCAAGTATTGCTTATAAACACTAGTAGATAAAAAGAGAAACACAAAGGTATGGATTTTA